TTTGGATAACCGATCATGATACCGCGCACCATTCACGATTTCTTGCTTTTGGCCACGAACTTTTACGTTAGTTCAAAACCAATTATGAAGAACTGTCTTCGTAAAACTTAGTCGGCTGGGAAAACCCCCGACTTCTGTTTATTAATTTGCGCTTAGCGCTCGAAAATGCGGATACTTTTACTCGAATGACACCAGTACACCCTTTTCCCTTTGATAATCTCATTTTACTTCATCCGCACTTGCTACTGTGGTATGCTGCAAATGCACCCATCCAGGTAGATCAATATTACATTCACTTGACTTCACACACAATCGAGTTCTCCAGCCACTCATATTACACCTGTGTTCCATAGGTGGTCGGCTGCTCACGGGTCCGTCATGAAGCTCATTCAGGCTGTCGGCACTACATGTCGTAACGCCATGCGTAGGTATTCGCTCCGTTTGGTCGACTAGTAAAGAGGATGGAGACGTGTAGACTAGAGGTAACGAGCTTGTCTCGTACTCTTGCGGCGCGGGTTCGAATCCGCTTAGGGGTGGGCGTCCTCGCGGTATACTCAGCCCACATGCGACTGGTGGTGGTCGCACGGCAGCGAAGCGGTTGCTCGTGTCAGAAGGACTGTACAAGAATAAAGACCGGTTGTTTTATCACAATGGCTGTTGGGTTAATACCCCCGTGAGTATTACAAACAGCACCACTACTCTTCCTGCACAATACTACGACGATCGCCTCTCCCCAATCGGCTGGGGCGGACTTATCTTTTCATGTTTGTTCTAACTGGTGGGCAGTCTTGCAAAGGACCTCACCACCATCCTTAGCTACCCAGTCCGCTGGCGCAAGCAGAGGTCTGCGAGTAATACTTGTCAATGTGCGAAGCCTCAGGACAAACTTGACGAGGTTCCACTTCTCATCTCTGAACACCATCCCGATCTATTGGCGTTTACAGAGGCTTGGTTGTTCTCTGAGGTCTTGGACACAGAAATTAGCATACCGGAATATCAACTCTCATGAGCTGGTCCTAGTGATGGGAGGACCGGAGGGGGAGTGATTCTATACTCGAAAGACTGCCTCAAAGTTCACGTGCTTGAAGCGTTCACCTACAGTAGCGCTGCCTCAAAAATGTTTTGGTGCCGGATCTATGGTGGACATCAAACACTCACAATTGGAGTTGCCTACAGAACTCCCTCGGGCTCAGGCTGTCGTCTCCTGGCAGAGGCAGAAACTGTCTGCTAATGGGTGGCTTCAATGAACCCAGTATCAATTGGAACCTTTTTCATTGTGACCTTCCGCAAGATTTCTTTGTGAGGGGGTTTCTCGATGCTGTTCAGGAATGCGATCTAATACAGCACATCTACTCTGATGTGGATGCTCCCGGGCCAGACATCAAACATCCTGGATCTGGCTTTCTCTCCGATGCCCACTGACGTCTGTGACTTGGTGGCCCTCCAACCACTCGGCCGAAGCGACCACTCAGTATTCTTCTTGTGGACACGACGTCTTACCATCACTGACCGCGGAGCATATCGCCGTAACTTTCGGCCTACAGATCCATCCAGATTACACGCTGTGACAAGCTCAGAAGATTGGAGTATCCCACAGTCCCTGAGTGTCGAGGAAGCATGCAACCGACTGCTGATCAAGTTGATGTCCATCATCGAAAATGCCGTCCCGATGTACAAAGACAGATCATTCCATCAAGGACCCCCCTGGATCGACCGAAAACGGAAGTCTTTACTGAACAGATGGCGTAAACTAGAACGTATTCAAGAGAACACAACTAGCCTCCGATTATCTAAAGTACAAAGAGGTTCGAAACTTGTGCACCCTGAAAAAGCGAAAGAAGCGACCTCAATACGAACAATACCTGACTGTTCAGTCCCAAACGTGCCGGAAGATGCTTTTTTCTTACATAAGGCGAAACGCCAAAGCGGGCGCTGGTATCCCTTCTCTATCTGCTCCTGCTGAAAGCGCTGTACTACATCACGATGATGAGAAAGCCAATCTACTAGCCTCGCAATACTCAGCTGTCTACGCGGTAGAACTACCGTTGCCCAAGAACGATGTGCCCACGTGCTCCCCAACCCTAGAGCAAGTTTCAGTTTACGTCGAGATCGTCATGCAACTAATCCGTGTGTTGAACCCTAACACCGCGCCAGGCCCTGACGGACTACACCCACTGTTCCTTAAGATGTTGACCAGCTACATCGCCGACCCAGTGTCCCAAGTATTCCGGCTCTCACTTGCAGTGGGCCGCTTACCTAGCGCTTGTAAAATAGGAATAGCAGTGCCTAAAGACAAAGGTGACCGGCAGGACCTTGCGAACTACCGGCCGATATGTTTACCGTTTGTTGTCTGCAAAATCATGAAAAGAATAATCAAGCGCGCTCTCAACGCTCACTGGGAAAGCTTATGCGCATCTCCCACTCACAGCACGGATTCCGCAGGGAACGATCCTGCATCACTAACCTGCTTGCTGCCAGAGAAGCATGGGTTAAAGCAACGGACGAGAGGAAACACCTTGATGCCTTCTTCATAGACTTCAGCAAAGCATTTGAAAAAGTGCCACATAAACGGCTTCTGCTCAAACTCCAGGGAGTTGGTGTCACCAGCAACCTCTTGTCCTGTATTTAAGACTTCCTGGAAGCACGAACCATTCAAGTGAAGGTGAATCAAACACTGTCCCAGTGGGGTTCCTCAGCGCTCCGTGCTTGGACCAGAGCTCTTTAAATTGAACATCAACGATCTTCCAGCGGCACTACAAACCGACTGTCTAATCTACGCTGATGGCATCAAGCTGTGGTCTGATATCTCTTGCCCCGAGGATGCCGACAGACTCCAAGCTTCGCTTGACCAGGTGCATAACTGGTCCGTTGAGTGGCAACTCCCGATAAACCTTGATAAATGTGTCGTTCTTCCGATTGGTGGCCCGGATCCTTTTGGTATGTATCATATCGGAGGATATATTCTCAAGTCTGTCACACATAAGTAGGACCTGGGAGTCCTCGTCTCCCACGATCTCAAGACATCACTTGCCGCAGAAGAACGTCGCAGCAGCCAACCGAATGCTCTGGGCTTTGCGAAGATCGTTCTGTAAAATTACGTCGGAGATCTTTAGAACGCTGTTCGCTTCGCTTGTCCGTCCGATCCTGGAATATGGTCTCCAGTTCGCTTACCCCCTAACGAAACATGAACATGATCTGGTAGAGAAAGGTGCAGAGGCGCAATTCAAAATCTAAATCGGACCTTCAGGATCTTCCATACACTCCTCGACTTAAGACTTTGAACCTGTTCTCCATGGAATATCGCCGCCGTCGCGGAGATCTCTACACCAGCCGCATTTTAAGGGGAGAGCTTGAAAATGAGCTGCAGCAGGTCTTCCATCTAAATGTGGGCAGGTCGACACACGGCCACAAATGGAAATTGTTTCAGCAAAGGACAGTCGGCCGGTGCCCGAGTTGTCTGTGCACCTGGTTTGAAACCATAGGATCCCCGGTTCGAATCCGCGTAGTGGTGGGCATCCTCGCGTTATACTTAGCCCGCGCGCGACCGTTGGTGGTCGTGCGGCAATGAAGCGCCGTTACGGCGTACAGCTGCCACCTTAAGTCAAGGACACTTCGCGTCCGTCTTCCAGAGTGGTAAATGATTGGAACATTGCCAAAACACATCATTGACTCGCAGACAGAGGAAGTTTCAAACTATTGCTAGACACCCATCTAACGCACATGGCGGGGTCCTGCTGTTCTTTCTTCAAAGGTGATGATCTCCGAAGCAGTAACGTTTCCCGACTCGGAACCGATGGAGCTCATAAGGGATCTTCCTCCTGCTCTCAATATTCCAATGTATTCCGGTGCAAAATCTCCGGGTACTACACCTTGGCGAAGAAACGCGCCGTGTCACATGCCAAACCGGTCGAAACTGCGGCCGAGTCGAAGACTCGTTAGTGAATACGCCTCATCAAGATGTTTCTTTGACCGATAACAGCGTTATCTTCTGTAACGTTGCTGAATCCGCGACAGCTCTTCTTAAGGAACGCATGCTGGATGACCTTCAGTAGTTCAAGCTCTGTGTCAAGAAGATGCTTCGACCTCGTTTCTCCGGGGAACGTCCCTGTTGATACGCCAAATCCGCGACCCCGACTACGTGTCGTCCTCACAACCGCGGAGGATAGCAAAACGTTAATGCGCTTTGCATTCAAACTCAAGGGTAGCAATGTCAGCGTTCAGCCGGACCTCCCACTGTCAGATCGATTATAGGTAAAGGAAGCCATCAGCCTCAAGAGCAGACGAGCGGCTGGTGAACAAAGCTCTCTTGTGAGTTTTCAGGTGGTCAACCGGAAGTAAAATTCTGCCTTACCAGAACCCCTCCTCATAGCGTATGACCCAGGGCTGGGCATGTTGAGTTCCTTCGGGTAGTACTTAGCAATGCGCATACATGAGGTGGGTCTAATTGAAGACAAATCTCGTTCCGACATACTTTCACTGAAACGTGGTTGTCCCCGGATATCACAGACGGTGATTCTGAAGTGCCCAATTTTTCGGATGGCTGCGCACTATTTCAGGTTGGACTATGGCCGTCATTGGAATTAACCTGTCTTGGATGACCATATCAGCACATCCCTTGTCGCAAGATCTAAACACAGCACTCCACCACCGGCTTTCTACTCATTCGAAGCCTTTAATCGAGGATAGTCAGGTCCAGGATTTAAACTTGGGGCGTAGATACTGCCTGCAAATGTCTTCACCACCACACCGACTAGCCTTGGGCATTGCCTGTTGCAGTGATGCGAACTTGGCTTATACTTAACTGTCGATTGCTTGCTGCACAATCGATTAGTCTTTATTTTCTGGCGTTGAGCAGCTTCCTTATCTTTGTGCTTTATCTGTTCACAATTGACCGCTATTTCATGCTCGATCTGCGGTTTTGTCCATAAGCTCGTTTAGAATTGTCATCCACGATACCGAAGCCTCCTTTTAGTCATGTCGATTGTCACTTCCATTGTATAATGTACCTTTTTTATTCTAGGTACCTTACCTATTCATTGATCACTGGGAACGAGATGGGAAAAACAAAGCCCAAGAAGACGGACACTAAGTTGGCTTTGAAAGCTGGTGGGATCAAATTCTTGAAGGACAAGGGCCAACATGTTTTAAAAAACCCTCTGATCATTCGCACAATGATTGAAAAGGCGGGTGTGAAAAACACCGACGTCGTTTTGGAAATTGGCGCAGGCACTGGTAATCTTACATCAAGGCTTATCGAAAGGGCACAAAAGGTGTATGCTTTCGAAATTGACCCGCGAATGATAGCCGAATTGCACAAGCGCATACGCAGCTCGTACGTTATACACGGTAAATTTGTGTTACCCTCTCCTGAGCATTTTTATGGCTGTGCATGCTACTAACAACCGCAATCCTCCGTTCGTGACAGTTCGTCTTGGGTACCGCACAACGTTTTTATTTACTATGTATTTGTTTAGTGTTTTGGTTTAGTATGAGTACATTAGGGCCCTTGTGCCACAGTGCTACTTGAGGATAAAGTAATTTAAGATCAGGGACTTCAAGTGTGCATTCTTGACACTAAAACACTGTCGACCGGCAGTGTTGTTCTACTAGACCAGGACTCACTAAACTACGGCCTGCGGGCGGAATCCAGTCCGCGACGTCAGTTCATTCGGCCCGCTGACTTTACTCAAATTTGCTTGATAAATCTTAGGGAACATGAGGAGCTGTGACACTACTTGTCACATTGTCATCAACCTTACATTGTTTAACGCTAGCTTGAGGCATCTCAGGGTAGTGACACCTTACTCTTAGTGGTCCGATATCGTTAGAACATTGGTGTGAGTGATCACGCACGAAGCCCCTTCATTCGTGCCCCTACCGTGTTTCTGTTTACCTCACACCTTTGTGCCTCAATATTGGGATTCGAAAATACGAGGCCATAGGTGAACAATTGTTTTCCATGATTCATATTCAGAACATTACCATCATATTTAAGGGTAAAAGAAGGAACTAAAATCGACCCATTGGCTCTAATTACACAGTTCATTAGCGGTTCAATGAAGGAGGTTAAAAGTTGTCCTTTGATCTGACGGGTCGATTGCATGGAACTGAAATTGATCTGTGGCAGTCCACCTCAGAATCGTTCGTTCTAGCTGGCCAGGGAAGCTGTAGGGCATGGATCAACTTCTTTTTCGAGCATAAAGAAGGTTGAAACAACCGGATGCAAATCGATTCAGCTGTCGCGAGCACACGGAGGCGCAGACCTTCGGATTGATTCTAAGGGACCCTGCAAATTATCCTGAAAACACACTTTATATCAACTTGGTGCCCAGAGTCGACAATATGGGCCAAAACGGCGCCGCTAATGGCTCCAGTTCCCCTTGGCACAACCAACGTAGGCAGTGCTCCTTCACGCGTTTGGACAAGTGCCTTCCCCTTCAACCGATATAGGTAGCGCAACAGGCGCACGTGAATTGATAAATAACCATAGACGGCTTCAGCAATGCCAGCATATTGCGTTAACAAAGAAGTGGTTCAGTAGAAAAATGTGCACTTTAGCCTGGCTGCTGGGAATATCTACTTGACTGGCATTGAAAGACTTTTGCTTAAGCGCTCGGTAATGGCGTCCCCTTTGAAAGGTAATCTTATAAATAACTCTCATCGCTGCGGTTAAAACTGGTACCAACTTAGGTTTTTCTTTAACATCCTTTGTAATAAATCCATCGGAGCAACCATTCTCCCGCAGCATATTCTGCATAAGAGTTAGCTCCTCATCCAGGGTGTCTTGTGGATAAATTCTACGCGCTCTTGTGGCAAGGCAGTTGATCAAGTTTCGTTTATATTTCAAGGGAACGAAACTGTGAAAATTCGTATACTGACCAATCCACGTATCCTTTCTCTGTACTTGCTGCTGAATAGAGCCGTCTGGCCTCCTGGTTAACAAGATATCTAGCTACGGAAACTGATTGCATGTTTCTGCCTCATAGGTAAATTGCAGTGCTGCGTGTGCTCGATTAAACCGATCGAGGACTTCATCCAGACGGATGGATTTATCCGCCACTACAAATATATCATCCATATAGCAGTAGTGGCAGTCAAAAGTGTTTATCTCCACTTGTTATTTGGTTCGCTTCAGTTCGGCCATGAACAACGGACCGAGGAGAGATGCCATGTCTACGGTGTCCTTTTGTCGGCAAAATATACCGTTAAATAGGAATTGCATCCGGTTGTGAAACTTCTTTATACTCGCAAAAGAAGTTGATCCTTACCCTTTAGCTTCCCTGGCCAACGAGAACAGACAATGTTGAGGCCGACTGCCACTGATAAAGCTCGGTACTTTGCAATGGACCCATTAGGTAGTTACCGTCATGGCAAAGATAAGCATCTGTGCCCGTGGAGAACGGAATGAGAGGAGAAGAAATGGGCGCACAATGAGTTGGGGACTCACAAACCCCTGTACGAATTGGGATAATCTTGATCTTAGGAGAAGCGGTCGAGCCATTTGTAAATGAGTTGGGTAGAGATGCCCATTGGTTTGCGTCTTTCGGAAGGTTGTTGAAGACTATTTTCTTTGATAACACTATGGCCATTTTATGCATGAATCCCTTGAGATTTTAGTCCTGATCCAACAACCTTTGCCGCGGCCTTGGACATGTAGGGCTTACTGCATGGTTGGCCTTTAGTTTTACTACCTATCTGGGAAGCAAGCGGCGTGTTGCATTGTGGCGCTCGTGGTCTATTTTGCACTAATTTGTGCCCGACAGTGATTTAAGCGTTTATAGGTATGGTCTCTACAGACTCATTGTTTTTATACTGTCCACCCAGCGGCTGGGCAAACTTCGTGGAGCCTGAACTGCCACCGTTAGTGGGGACAGATTTAAAATGATCCTGAGGACTATTAGGAGAAATGTCACTCAAAGGCTGAACTGGGTCAGGGTCAAACATACTACTTATTCCTGGGGAAGCTGTTTTGGACGGACTAGATGGTGCCGATTTTACAGGTGCAACACCCACGTTGGGTGGTACATTGTAGTGGCTATTGTCAAGATCCACTACGGCATCTACGCTTACGTGACGGTGCATATTTACAGGTGTATGTTCCTTTATGCCTACAGGAGATCGTCTACTTCGAATCACTTCCATCTGGAGTGATCTCATCGTGTTTAAGAATTGGCCTTTCGAAGTCGGATCTTGCGGCTATAAGACTAAGAGCGAATGATCTTTTCGGCATTTGCTTCGTCAGAGAGCTTGAACACGACCGGGCAGCAATGCTTCGTCGAGTTCTTCTTTAATCGTATGGATACACAACGTTGCTGATTTCAAGCACGACCTTTGCTACGGTTTTGATTTTGATCTTGCACATTTTGATCATGCAGATTGAACACGACTACATTTTCCTGACGGCGTGTACGTTCACAAGCTTCTGATGCAACTACAGAGATGAAGTATGAAGTCTTGTGCAAGTATTCTACGTTGGGTTTATCAGGCATACTACAGGAGTAGGAGAATGGACGCTACCGGTTGCAGAAGTCATCTGTTGCCGAGAGCTTTTCATTGTTGGATTTGACGTCCTTTTTAATCTGAACGTATCGGTCGTATACTTTTGTAGGACTGTTGGTAGTGGAAGCTAAATGATCTTTGTGAATTTTAGGAGTTTCCTTAGGTTTACATACTTTTACACCTTTTTTAGGAACCTTCGTTATTTGTTAGCATCGCATTCGTGGCCGAGTTGTTTATCCTGGAGCTTGGCGATACCAGAGAAGAGGAAGCAAGTTGATCTACCTCCATAACTTTACTCGAGCCCCTAAAAGTTCGCCGGTTTGGTAACACTGAGTTGGTGGCTAATGTTTTAGAAGTCATCGATAGAGTGGGAGATAAATGTAGTCGATATGCAAGTGGAGTCGATATAGCTACCGTAAGCAAGAGGAGAATGGGTAAGGCCTTAGTGAATTGGGCAGCTGGGAAGGAATAAGTAAGAAAGGGAAAGTGGAGTACCAGGGTTGGAGTACAGTATGAATACACTAAGCCTATGTCTATGGACTTGTAAAATTGTTCAAAAAGCAGTTAAACGATAGAAACCAACCGTTGGACCTGGACGGCTACGGTGATTAGTTACTTAGTTCTAATGTGACTGGAGTCAGTCTCCGCTACTATGCACTTTTCCAGCATACAAGCTACTCGGCTGGGTACAACAGATACTATTCCTCTTGGTGAGCCGCCAATCATCCGTTCACATCATGAACTATATTGTACAATTGCAGATTTTTAAGGAACGATGCAAGGGTTCATTTCATATTCACAATAAATCCATGACAGTAGATATAAAGATGTCGCACTGCCATGCTTACTTCTTCACCGTGACTACTTCTATTTCCTGTGGTTCAACCAGGAGGGTCGTGTGTTCGAGTTCCTCGACTGGCAGTTTGAGTCATGATATGCTCCGGAAGGATGAGGCGACCGTCTATTGTTCCTATGGATGTGCGGCTCTGATGTATCTCTTTCTGCTTTTATCCAAATCTCATTCGCACTGTTTTCTATTTTGTACTAATTAGATATCTGACCATTTCTCGGCCTGTGTTCAAGTGGTTCTGGCATCTGATTTGTAACCCACAGTTCCCCGGTTTGAGCGTGCTAAGTGCGGGGATCTCACAGTATTCTTAGCCCATACGCAACTGGTGGTGGTTTGTGACAGCAGAGCGTCTTTGTGACGCTCCGGCCTATTGTTAATCCTTGCCTTTTTTCTGTCTAATGTTTTCATGGAATCCATCTGCGACACAGGAGTCATGAAACAATGACCACTCAGTTGAGCTACGTACTTCATTTTTCAGGGCGGATCGTGGAAAATTGGAAATTCTGGTTGGGGATGCCGTGAAAGCTCAGATTTGGCCTAAGTTCGACGTCTGTGTTTCGAATCTGCCGTATCAGATATCTTCACCGTTTATTAAACGACTCATTCAAGCCAGTCGCGGTTATCGATGCGCCGTTGTTATGCTCCAGAAGGAATTTGCTGATCGGTTGGTCGCCCGGCCTGGGGACAAATTATACTGCCGGCTTTCAGCCGCAGTTCAGTTTCAATGCAAAGTTGCTTTGCTTATGCGAGTAAGTGTCTCATTTTCACTTGGTTTGTTACATGTATGGCTAGTCACTGCGTGCTTGCCTTTTACTGAACCATGATTCACATTGTCGATCTTAACCGGTTGCATGGAGAGTCAAGTAATCTCAAGAGAGGTTCGTCATACAAACACTGAGTCGAACAGCCACCACGTTTACGGCAGTGTAGTTATCTGTCAGTGCTTCAAATCGAAAACTTTTACAATGAGGATTGTCTCCCACGCGTTTCTTAAGTCCTAAGATTGCTTGATTTGGCCATGCACCGCGATGGTAGTACAGAACCTAACAGCTGGCGGAAGGATGGAGTCGTCCTTGTACGCACCGACAATTTACGGTATATCAGTGGGGATCCAGTGTAACCTCGCGCAATAGAGCAGTTTTGCTTTCCTTTTATTATCCCTTTCGCTTCCAGATTCTGGTATTCTTAATTTTTCTTTTTCATCCCTCTCCGTTTCCCTCACTGTAAATGCATAGAAATGAGATCCGGCGGCATACGAGCGGTAACCACGATGGTTTCGAATTCGGCTGTCGCTCCATTAACGTGTGTAGCACTCGTGAGTCAATGTCATTGTACCCAGCTGTCACGACAGCATCCTGACACTAGAAGCAGCGCATTTTCTGAGCACTGACAATGTGACATTGGCATTTACTTGCCTGGAATATACGTGTTAGACGTACGCAATAGGTGCACTGAACCTGCCTATTTCTATGGTGCGAATGTCATGGACCCAGCGTCGATGGCTAATCCCGAAGTCCCATTAATCGAAGTGTCTTTCGTGGATGGGTTTTTTGGGGTAAATCTAATGTGAGTTGAACACAGAATCCGCTACGTATGCTTCAATTACAACCGTCTTGATGTAACAAGGCACATTTTGCCTCAATAGCCCCTATTTGTCTTGCGCTTTGTATTCATGTTCCTTCTCCTCGTCAGCTATCTTCACTCTACTGTCTGACAATTTATATCCTTCTACAGCACTTTCCTCTTCCGTATCGTAATGTCGTCCAGCTACTTGAGTGCCCTCGCTTCCATATCGGTGGGCCATACGTTTCCGAGTTTTCTGTGCATTGGTGTGTTGCTGTTCGAATCGATCTTGTCTGTTGAAAGTATTTGTTGATTCTTTCCCACAGATCAGCAAAAACAGCTTCCGACCTCCTCCGAGGGTTGATTCCGCTGTGGTTCGCATCGAACCTCGACACCCAACACCCCCCATCTCCTACTCCGAGTGGGATGGTCTGCTTCGTCTGGTGTTTGCCCGAAAAAACAAAACAGTGTCGGCTAATTTTTCTTACAAAGCCGTCGCTGAATTGCTACGCAAACACTATTTGGAGTCTTGTCGAATGGACAATCGCAGTCCGGATCCAATTTCCATCTCTTCCGACACCGATGGAGTAGCTGCTATGGGGCAGAAAATACACGGAATATTGCAAGCATCTGGATTTGGTTCGCAGAGAGCTCGTGTAATGGATGAAGACGACTTGCTTCGTTTGTTGCTAGCCTTTAAGCGGGAGGGAATTCGCTTTGGCTGACTTTGTGTAGAAATTACTTCCACTGTATATATCGGTATTGTGAGCAATTGTATTGTTCTACTTAAATTAATAAGTGAATGATATACTTCTGAGCTGTGCGAGATACAGTCCAACTAGGTGGTTTCATCACTTTGTGCAGCAGTAACGCATGAGACAGATACTTGTTCGAGTTGTTCAAAGCGGTCATCAAGTGAGTTTTCAGAGTGGCCGATTAGTTAAATGTATGAGGACGACACAGAAGATGATAGTAAGAATAAATAGTTGTAGCCTGATTGAAGTAATACGTTGATCCTTAACATCGTCTCCTAGGGACCTACTCCATGCAGCATAGTCCATCGAAAGGTTTAACGTGCACTTCTATGCCCGCCCCACCTGACCGTATGCCTATGTGGCTTAAAGCCAAGTTAGCCATCACCGCTTCAACTCATCTTTTGATCTGTTATTATTATTATACTCATACAGTACGGGCAATCCAAACATTCATCTCGCTCCACCATCTAGCTCTTTCGTGTCCGCCGACACTCCAGTGAGTCTATGCCGGTTTGCCTTGTGTGGGTATACTGATTGACTTGGAAGCTTCAGTCTATCACCTCAGACTATCGGTTCAGTTTTCGCCAACAATAAAGACAAGATAAATATAAAAAATGGAACGAAAATTTGATGTAGCATTGACACTAAATAAGTGGAATATTCCTCCGTAGTATGAGACTGAGTCTGACGGTTTGTGTGGTTCAGTTACTATTGGACTCTTTGGGTAAATTTAACAATCCAATCCGTACAAAAGGCTGAGTAGATAGTTCCATCGAATTGCAGATCCTTGAGTCTGCGTTCCCAGGTGATTCTTTCATCTGCAGAAGTTCTCCTGGAACCTTTTGAGCCATTAGAAGCATAGTTTTGACTAATACTTTGCCAGCTCTTGGCATGGTTACTCGAGAAATGGTCCTGATTGTATGCACTGTTTCTGGTTGTAGCGACACCGGAACATTGCTGCGTTTCATTTTAGGATATTTTCTCTTCCCTCGAAGTCAATTCGAAATACTGCAGAAGTCGACTCCCTTGCTGCGTCGCGAAACCTGTTTCTTTGGAAGTTGAAACTTGCGTGTAATTTTGGAGTATGATTGCATATGAATTTGTGCGCGTTTTGACAAGGAGGAATTTTGTGAGCGGAATTTCTCGTAGAATGGCTCCACCTTCGTTCCAAGACGTAGTCGGGTGTTTCTGCTCCGGCACATATGAATTCATATTTTGGCCATTAATAGCTGCGTGACAGAACTGAGTTCCACTTCTGGGGTCTGAAAATTCAACAATTTTTGGGTCACTGTTCAAACTAAGCAACCTGTGACATTCAACTGCAATTTCCTGTGAGGTCTGCCTCGGTTCCGGCCGCCATTCCACTTGAATGTTGAGTGTTTGTGACAGCACTTCATATAACTGATGCTGTGGCTTCAAACTGAAACTGCTGCTGCTGAAGGAGGGCTGCAACTGCTCGAACGAAATGGGCATGATTGTTCAACACCTCCCGTCGTCAGAGAATCTGTTGTGTCCGAGCCCCAGGACTGCTTCCACCCACTAACGGTAATGAGAACACCAACGACCGAGCAATAAACAATGTTCACGCAGCGAGCCAAACTGGTCACCAAACGTCTGTCTGTGCAACTCAATCACAATATTCAAATTAGGGCATATCACAGGCTATGCGGAAAAGGTGGCATTCGATCAGTCAATGCTGGTCAGTTCAAAAAGCGGTGGATCGATAATTTGCCTCACGAACAGTGTCACGTAGGCGAATGACTTCGATCCGTTTACTTCAGCCGTGCGCGGATTGGTTACCACTCACACCAACTAGCCAATCATCTGACACACACACCGGTCTCGCTGCGCCGGTTTCCGTGAATCGTGTACCTTCTCAATTGATTGACAAACCTCCTGCTGTTTAGACATCTTCTGCTTGCTGGGATTACGTGTCTCGGAAACGTGAGTTACATGCTTAGTGGCACTACGTATTAATGGCGACGAAAATGATGAACCCAATGTTGAATACACCTCCTATCTTTTGGTCATCTGCTGAGGAAAAACCGACCTTATCGAACTGGGTAAGATGGAGGAAATCATTTACTAACTACATGGAATTACTTCCTGTACTGAATCCGGCCATTAGTCTTTCTGAGGCTCACAAAATCACACTATTCAGGCAAGTGCTTGGCGATGAAGGTCAACGGCGCTACGATGCCCTACAACTGGAAACCTATGCCACCCTCAGTTCTGCTTTGGATACTTATACCATGTTATGGGGCTGAAACAAAATGTTTACACTGCTAGATACTGCTTTTCAAAACTTGTCCAAAAGCCGAACGAGAGCGTCAATGATTTTATTGCACATATTCACCAATCTATTCCTGATTGTAAGTATAATGATATTCCACCTGGAAAAATTGAAGAGCAAACGAAAGTTCAGTGTTTGATTGCGGGAATATCGGACGAAAGTGCTAGAGAGAAATTGTTATTCTTGGATGAGTCGGCCACTACGTGGGAAAACGTTTGTCTTATCGTTCGTCAGCGAGAGAACATTACACACCAATTACGCGAGTTCACTGGTCAGCTGGTAGTTGATGATGTGCACGCGGTCCGCAAATCAGACACCAGTGAACATCGAAACAATTTGTGTGTTATCGTTGCGGTTTGCAGCATTCTCACGCTTCCGATTGCCGGCACAAAGAAAGTATCTGTCGGAAATGCGGCAAGATAAGTCATGTAGCACGCGTCTGTAGATCGGAAAGTTCCCGCCCCACGAACATCGCCTCCTCAAATCGTCAAAGCAAGGTAGCGCTACGGGAAGATAAGATCCTAGGAAATTTGAACAGTGAGCTTAACTCCGTGTATTTGAACAGTGTGACACTCACAAACTGTCCTCCTTACACAATACGTTTGATGATAGAAGATGAACCTATAGACATGGGGCTAGATGCTGGGGCGGCGGTCACCATTGTAAACCGCGGTTTAATGAAAAAGCTACCACCTTTGCTACCGTGCAACTCGAGATTACAGACGTACACAGGTGATCCAATACAGGTGTTGGGGAGATGTTTCGTTAAAAGCAGGCACGAGGAGCGAGAATTCACTCTACCCTTAATCGTTGTACCTGGGAACAAACCGAATCTAATGGGTCGAGACTGGATACAGTTCTTTCCCCAGACCATGCAACTCACTGTTGAAGACGGCAGTTTGAATGGATTATTGACCGAGTTGTTATCGTTGTTTGCAAACAAACTGGGGTATAATGCGTCATTTCAAGCCTTCTATCAAACTCCGAGAGGGTGCCGAACCAAAATTTTACAAAACTGGATCATTATCCTATGCATTGCGTCCTAAAGTTGAGGCAGATACAATGTCTGGAATCAGAAAATGTCATAGTCCCGGTGCAACATTCGGATTGGGGCACCGCGATTGTACCTGTACTAAAACTTGACGGCTTCATCAGTATTTGCAGAGACTACGAATTGACAGCCAATCAAGCGTCACAAGTGGAAAAATATCGCCTACCACGTATTGAAGGCTTGAAGACTTTAGCCGGCGGCCAATAGTTTTCCAAGCTGGATCTCAGTCACGCATACTCTCGAACTTGATGATGAGTCACAAGAACTGACCACAATAACTGCCCACCTGGGACTATTCCAGTACGCGCGCCTCCCGTTCGGAATAAATTCAGCACCCAGCATTTTCCAACTTATTGTGGATACTATAGTTAAAGATATACCGTTCACTTGTGCATACTTGGACGATATCCTTGTTACTGGTCGCAGTGACGCTGATCACCTGAACACATTGCGAACTGTTCTTCTGCGTCTGGTAGAGGGTGGGTTTGAATGTAAACAAGCCAAAATGTGAGTTCTTATCCGCTTCTGTTTGTTACGTTGGTTCCAAACTGGACAGAACCGGTTCGCATGTCCAGCAAGATAAAATAGCGCTTATTGTGCAGGCACTTCAGCCCAAGAATATTGATGAACTACTATCATTCCTAGGAATGTTGTTTCACTATCGTCGTTTCCTACCTGTTGCATCGACCATTCTTGCTCCATTAAACGTACTGTTACACAAAGCGTCTCGTGGATGTGGAAAAGTGGCACCAATCTGCTTATACTTGTGCAAAGCAGTGTCTTGCTTCCACACCCGTTTTCGTCCATTACGATAGTGAAAAACCGTTAATCTTACAGTGTGACGCCTCTCCATACGGAGTCGGAGCAGTTTTGTGCCACAAACTGTCCAATGTTGTCATTCACGCGATTGCATTTGCTTCACGAACTTTACAACCCGCCGAAAAGAATTTCTCCCAGCTGGATAAAGAAGCCCTGTCAGTTATATTTGGCGTCAAGAGGTTTCATCGGTACATCTGGGGCAACTATTTCGAACTAAAAACCGACCACAAACCACTGATGTCCTTGCCGAGCGAGTCAAAGGGAATCGAGCAGATGTTTTCACTGAGAATGCAACGCTGGCCGTGTTCCTCTGCAACGAGGCTGCTCCATGTGGGGGAACTAGGAGACAGTGACGATTGATGTGTGCTGCCTAGGTCCAGTTAATTTGATTGCTTTGTTTCGGCTGCTGACACTGCAGAACAACCCGCTTCACACAGCTAGTTTGTCAGAAATGGCAATCTGCGCGTAATTCTCTGTGACTTTAATTGCAGAATACCGGCGAAGTTGTTTGTCACCAACGTACTATCAAGTCCGCCGTCATTTGCAAACTCAGTAGTGGTACATATCGTCGGATAGATGAGTAATGATAATTCAATAATCGCACAGATTGTGAGTCAACAGTTTCGAAACTGACCTGCAAATCATCGGAATCCACAACCTTTAAAAAATCATACACACATTTCTATTGTCGTAATCATGACGCACCAGATGACAAAATATCAGATATAGTGTCCTGTTTAAAATGTTTTGGAAAACTGGTAGCTCGGGTGGATAATTTAGTTGCTCATTTGTTCGCCGAGCTGCGAAATCGGTTTGCAAACGTTTCACCGCCATGCGATATGGCAGCATCAGTGCGTCGACATGTGGGGTGTAATCTCGCACTGATACTGACACTGATACCATCTATATGTGAATGCCTTTGACTTTGCTGAAATGGAACTAGCCATTTTGTCCTTCTTAAGAATGCTCAAAAAGAACTATAAAAACGAACATGAATATTCAGTAAGCACGTACGTCAGCAGTACCCGCTCAGTTCTGACAATAAAATGGTTACACAGTAAACAAATA